GGAAGGAGAGCAGGCTGCCATGGTGTGAGGTGGAAGGAGAGCAGGCTCTGATGGTGTGAGGTGGAAGGAGAGCAGGCTGCCATGGTGTGAGGTGGAAGGAAGACGAACACAGACTGGTGCAAAGTAAAGAGAAAACGAGCGCCCACTGGCGTGGCGTGAAAGAAACACGAGTGCATGTGGCGTGAAGGGCCCGCACCCTGCTTCCGATCTTTATTGTCTTAAGATTTATTTATTATGTATGCAGTGTTCTGCCTGCATGTATGCCTACATGCCAAAGAGGGGCCAGATCTCATTACAGATGGATGTGAGCCACCACGTGGTTGCTGGGAATTGAACTCAGGACCTTTGGAAGAGCAGTCATCGCTCTTAACCTCTGAGAATTCCTTTCCAACCTTGACAGGAGCCCAGTGTGACACAACACGGTTAGGAAGAGAGAAGCAAACATCCTGCTGCTGTCAGGGGCCTAGCAACACACTGTCACACAGATATGTGAAATGAGTGACATGTGTCTGGTTTTCAGAGTTGCATGCTAATATCTACCTTAGACAGAGTGCACATAGGGAAACAAACACTTTCAGGAAAATGTGCCTAAGCAATGTTTTGTCATTTCCACAGCCAGTAAGTAAATAAAGTTGCTGAGAATCTGAACATTCCCAACAATCGTGTTACTCCAAGGAGCGCTCTTCTGTCTGCACCTCAGCAGCTCCACTCCCCGCAGCCAGGATACTGAGGCTCCACAGCAGAAAGACATGCTCCAACCTCTGCCACGCACCCTTGTCTGTGAGCCTCAGCACCTGGGACCCTGCTTCTCAAGCTTAGATGGCGACAGCACTTCCAGTCAGCTTGGGCAGCGGAGGGGAAAGCCACCAGTTGGGCTGGCCAGGAAATACCAGCTAGAAAGGGGCATATGCCAACAGCTCCCGACACAAGCGTCTTCGTGAAGAGCAGATATGCTGACGGGGACTTCCCAGCACGCCAGCATTTGCTTTTTGAGTAAAAGAAAAACTCAGTATTTAATGAAGTACAAAATCAGACACCTGAGTGAGGTTCCCAAGCAGGAGCCAGAGACTCAGAGAGAGAAGGGGCTGTCTCTAGCAGAAGGTGCTCGGCACTCTCACTGGGCCAGGGGAAGGATGAAGGAGGGATAAGCCTGTCTGAGTGCAGGAGGGAGCCAGGGGCAGCTCCTGGCTCTTCTTTTCCTCTTGGCAGCTGTGAGGACTGAGGGTGAAGACACAAGATGAAAGGCCGGAAGGTGAGGTGTAAAACTGAACCCCAGGGTGGTATGACAGGGAGCTGAGAAACAGCGTGAGCACCCCACAATCCAGAGAAGACGGTTGAGTAATGACAAGAGGGAGCTTCATGTTTGTTCAACAGACTAACAACGTCTTCACCCGCCATTATCCTTTACACCCAATCATGGTAACCACGCATGAGAAACAGCAGACCGTCCGTCAGCACCAACCGACAGAGCCACAGGGGCCTGAACATTAAAGTGGATTTGTCTCACGATCATAGGATGCAAGCATTTAGCACAGAATCTGAATGTCTGGACTAACAAGAAAACAGTCTCGGCCCAAAGGTTTAGGCCTGGGAGCTCAGCTATTGGGAAGCTGAGGCAGGAGAGTCAGATACTCAAGGTCTGTGTGGGCAACAGTGAGAGTTCAGGACTAGCCTGGACAACTCACTAAGATCTAGTTTAACAAAGAAGGAAGGAGGGAGGGAGGGAGGAAAGGAGGGAAAGGAGGGAGGGAGAAAGGAGAGATGGAAAAAGGGAGGAGGGAGGAGAGAAGGAAGAAAGGAAGGAAAGGAGACAAGGAAGGGAGGAGAGAGGGAGGGAGGGAGAAAGGAGAAAATGATGGAAGGAAAGAAGGGAGAAAGGGAGAAAGGGAGGGGGAGGGAGGAGAAAAGGAAGAAAGGAGACAAGGAAGGAAGAAGAGAAAGAAGGAAGGAAGGAAGGAAGGAAAGAAGGAAGAAGAGAAGGAAGGAAGGAAGGAAGGAGAGACGGATAGAAGAAGAGAAAGAAGGAAGGAAGGAAGGAAAGAAGAAAGAAGAGAAGGAAGGACAGACAACCAGGTGAAATGGGGCTGTGACACTGCTCAGTCATGGAACACTTGCTGGCATGTGAGGCCCTGGGCTCGGCCCTCAGTGCAGGCAGGAGAAAAGGGGATGTCAAGATGGTGCCACAGGCTGTAAGGCAGCAGCCGCCACGCCTGCTGACCCAGTTAGATGCCTGAGAGGCACTCGGTGGAAGGAGAGCACTGAACCACCAGGTTGCCCTCTGACCTCCACACGTGTGCTGTGGTCACGTGACTGCACGTCCCTGGACCACCGGTGGCTGCCATGGACCTTCACACCCAGCTCCAGACAGCTTTAACCAGTGATGAAGGCCACATCCTACGATTCCCACACTCTTCCTGGTCCATCTAAAGAGTTCTGTGCAAGAGCATCCCTTGAGCTATTCTCTCACCAACGCACGCACCTTTCCCATTAAGTGCACTCTCACTGCGGCACTTCTTTAAACAAGGTGCTTGAGTCCGGCCCGCCTGACTTACGGATATTGCTGTGATTCGCAGGGAGTCCACGGCGGAGTGTCTGAAGAGGTGCCACAGGACAGGCCCGATCTCCCCAGTGATGAAGCCCTGCGCCTGGGCAGAAAACGTCGTGCAGACATTCTCAACAATCTTCGCAGCCATGTGATTGACAACGCGCTCCTCCTGGAAAATGAACAGAAAACAGCAGGAGTCAGGAAGCGCTGCCTCCCCGAGCAAAGGGTCTTCCGTGTGAGAAGCGTGCGCTGTGGCTTCTCCTAGCCCTGGGGATAATGTCCTGAATGTCATGAAGCCGTGCAAAGAGCCAGGCCTCTTCGCCACGTAGCAGGGAGAACACAACCCTATCCACGAACCAAACAGGAAGCACAACTTCACCTGTTTAAGCAAAATCAAAAGAGGAAGAGGAACCAGAAAATAACTAACATAGCACAGTGAAAACCATTCATAACTGACCCTATAGAGAGTTAAGGAACCAGCCCTCGCTCAGCCCTGGCTGGAGATGATCTGGGCGAACACCAGCTGGAACACAGAACCGCTCAAACATGGGATCAGAGTCCCAAGAAAGACACGCCAACAAGGGACCCACCCACAGACCAAAACAAACATCATCGACTATGGCACTGCTCTCAGGGAGGGCTGGAGGGCGGGCTGGAGGGAGGGCTGGAGGGTGGGCTGGAGGGCAGGCAAGAGGGAGGGCTGGAGGGTGGGCTGGAGGGTGGGCTGGAGGGCTCAGCAGGTGGACACACAAGCCAGCACTCGGTGACCAAGCGCTCATTGGCTCCAACATCTCATTAAATATGCCTGCCAGACAGGCAAGCACAGCTCTCCGTAGGAAAACTCAGCCTGAGAGACGACCTGGTGACACGCTTACAAGCAAGGAGACCCAAGGTTGGTTCTCAGAACCTGTATAAAAAGAGCCAGGTAGGTAGTGGGGCTTGAAATCCCACTGCACGGGGGCTGGAAATAGGTGGGGCCCTGAGGCCAGCTCTGCAGCCAGCCCACCTATGAAGCACATTTCAGGCCCAAATTAATTAATTAATTAAAATGGGTGATGCAGGAAAGACAGATAAGGTTGTCTTCTGGCCTCTACACACACATGCACTTAAAAGTCATTTTAAAATAAAAAATAAAAACAAGGGACTGGAGAAACGGTTCAGCAGATAAGAGTGCTGGCTGCTCTTCCAGAGTTCCTGAGTTCAATTCCCAGCACCCACATGGTGGCCCACAACCATCTATCATGGGATCTGATGCCCTCTTCTTTCATGCAGACATACTTGTAAATTGAGTACTCACATGTATAAATAAGTAATTTAAAAAATAAAAACTAATATGGCTACAGAGACCGGGACTGTGTTCTTCTAGTCATTCTTGACGGAGCACCACAAATCCACGCTGCTGAGAACCGCCTAACACAACAGTGCGGAAAGTCTTTGTGAGTGACGCATTGCTCAGAGAGCGACAAGCAGCTAAGAAAGCTGATGTGGCAGAGAAAGCCTGTGAGAGTGAGAGCACAGATGTTTGCAGGAAGTACCACCCCTGACCTGAAGCATGGAGAAACTCACAGTGGTGTAAAACCCTCCAGATGTAACAGACGTGGACACTCTCAGCCCGGAGTCACATGACAAGCCGTGCAGGAGAGGACAGGCCAGCGGCAAGCCGGGGGAGCGCTACCCTGCAGGACCACAGGGAGCCCACGCTGGAAATAAGTCCTGAGACGCACTGAGCATGAGAGATGCTGCCACAGGGACTCTCGAGCTAGAGACCACACGGGAAAGCACACCGGAGGAAAAGCCTTAAAGACAACGGATGTGAAAAGGGCTTTAGGGCAATTCACCCCTAAGTAAATATGACCATTGACTTTCACTCTCAACTTAAGAGAGTTCAGAGTCAGCTAGGAGACATAGCCTCGAGCAAGTCTGTGCGGACAGCTCCTGACACAATTAACTCAAGGACGGAACCCCACTGGAAAAGAAAAAGACAACTCTCTCCTTTCTCTGCTTCCCGGCCCACTGGGGGGTCCCAGCCACAGTTCCCCCACGAGGAACTGCCTGCCACCTGCTATGGGGGACTGTGTACCCTCAAACCATGAGCCAACACAAACTCTTCCTCCCTCAGGCTGCACTAGCTAGGTATCTTGTCACAGCGCCAAAGGTGAGCAACACAGTAAGAACAGAGCTTCGTTTGACTAAAACCACATCAATACACCGAATGTGGGAAACCCTTCAGCACGCTCTCCCCTTACTGCATGTCTGAGGAGTCACACTCAAGACAGGCGCTTCAAAAGCTGGAGTGTGGCAGCACATTCAGAGAATGCTCAGCCCTCACTATGCATGAAACCACTTTGAAATGAATGTCAGTTAATGTAATAAATATGGAAAATTCCATAGCCAAATGGCTCGGCTATCCAGGCAACCAACAAAGTTTTTTTTTTTTTAAGACAGTTATGAATTAAATGAATTGAGTAGTCCTTCAGTCAGAGCTGTGTCCTTGTTGTGTTTCAGAGGGTTACAATGTTCCAATGGTGAGAGCCTCACAGGTGAACTTACAGCTCTCAACAGATGAGAAGAAGGCATACAAGGGTGATGACAGCAGCTAAGGGAGTTCTTTCAAAGCCAGGCGCAGTGGTGCACGCCTGTAACCCCAGCCCTCGGGAGGCAAAGGCAGGCGGATCCCTGAGAATTCGAGGCCAGCCTGGTCTACAGAGTGAGTTCAGGACAGCCAGGGCTACACAGAGAAACTGTGTCTCAAAAAAAACCAGAGAGGAAGAGAGAGAGCTTTTCCTTATCCTTACAGACAAGAAGACACTCAAGTAGAAACCCTGTAAGTGTAATCGCTGTGGGAAGGCTTTCTGGAAGAACGCTTCCCCAGCTAATCCTCAGAGGCGGCACAAGGCACGCTGCGTATGCCATGACCGTGTACATACCTGTAGGCACTTGACCCCATCTCCAACCCCGAGAAAATCATTACAAAGAAAAACATAACCAGATCTGGTTAGAGATTTTTGTCTTAGTGACCCTTGTTGATACACAAAAGACAGATATAAAGAGATCAGTAAAACTTCTCCATGTTAAAAGCAAATCTTCCTTTAAAAGGGACCTTGCTAATAAGAAAGAGGGAAAGTTTCCAGAAACTGGGTAGCCCTCACTCAAAGAAAAGACAACAGAGGATGCCACTCCGGCTGCATGGCCCCTGTGACGGCTCAGCTGCGGAATGTGCCTGGAGGAGTGAGGCAGTTTTCACCAAGAGCAGTGACAGATGCCTGTGCTATGTCTTGGAGGAGGCCTCAGGCCCACAGTGCCTGTCCAACAGGAAACACTTGTTTTATCTAGATGGAGTACTATATAGATGTCAGAACGCTGTCAAGGATGGAGGGAGTGAGGAGAAGTCTTAGTGCTTGGGAGAAAACTCCAAGAAAGCAAAACAAGAGTCTTGTGAGCTCAGCTTCCCCAAAACCATGTATTTGTTCTTGGAATGTGCTTCCAAAGGCTGGTGCAGTGGCTCATATCTTCAATCTCAGAACTCGAGAGGCAGAGGCAGGTGGATCTCTGAGTTTGTGGCTGGTCTGATCTACAAAGTGAGTTCCAGGCCAGTAAAGTCTACAAGGAGAAAGCCTGCCTCGAAAAGCAGCAAGTAAACACAGCAGCAGGGATGTGGTCCTGTGGCCTCCCAGATGCCGTGGACAGCAGTAAGTTGACTGTGACCATTTTAACAACTGGCTATTGTACTTGTTTTATGCTTTCTGTGGGAAAACGAGTTTTTGCCATGTGCAGCTTGTTCTTGTGACACACTTTACTAGTGAGATTCCTCCTAATCCTCAGAGCACACAGTGTCTGAGGCTCTGAATAAAGTGACTATAGCATGAGACTTAATTCTGCCTCGTTTTCAGGCTCCCTTCTCCCAGGCCCCAGACCTTTACGGTGGCAAACAGAGAAGGCCTTGCAATAGGCTTCTGCATGACTACACAAAGACAGGTCAACTTTACGATTATCAGGGAAAGACCTAGGTGTCCTTTAAGGCATAGAACATGGACCACTAAGTCTAAATTGAAGAAAAAAAAAACAGTATAGAATGAACGGGGTACTTGATGATGGAGATTTACCAAAGACTAGAAGATGCTGGTGTGGGGACCAAAGAGGAAGAGCAACCTTTGGGAAACCATGTTCCTGTCAGAGCCAATAAACTCACTGGTCACCAAACAAAACATGGTAGTTTCCCTCATGTTTTCTCACTTTTGTTCAGTATTCCTCAAGTAGAGAACTTGACAGTAAAACTCAAGAAAAAATATAATACAAAAAAAACTTGGGAATAAATTTAACCAAAGGAGTGAAAGAGCAAAGACTTAAAGCTGTAAAGTAATGAGGAAAGAAAGTAGAGATGGTAAGGATGAGCAGAACATACCATGCTCATCACCCGGAAGGACTTAAATTGCCAAAGGAAATAAAAATGCAATGGCTTCCCTATCAAAGTTCTAACACCACTATTAAAAGAAATAGGAAAGGAGTCTAAAATTTATATGAAACTACAAATCGCCCCAAACGGCCATATCAGAATCCAGGCACAGGCTTCCAAAACCAGCACTCAGAAAGCAGAGACAGCGGTTGGGGAGTTTAAAGCCAGTTTTGGCCAGCTTTGGCTACACAGGAAGTCTGAGGCCCAACCAGGGCTACACACTGCATAAAACCTTCCCTAAATTAAAACAAACAAAAAAGCACACACATGTGAACCGAGAAGAGGGGACATTCGCGGTGCACAGAACAGTTAGCGCAGCCACATCAACTCTAAGGACCTATTTTTCTTGCACTTATTTATTGGGGAGTGGTGGACACGTGCAGAGGTCAGAGGCCAACCTGCAGGGACCCAATGCAGAAATCCTGTTTAGCGCCGAGGGCCTTGGCCTCCACCTGGCCCATCTGCCTTTAACTTAAGATCTTCTGCTGTCCAGATACCCCAAGGAAGTGAAAGTGTGACCCAAATCAAAGTACCCACGCCTGCCTGGCTCTCTAGCTCCAAGGGCTATGACAGGACGCCCTCTTCTGGCCACAGTGGGTACCTGCACTGAAGCACGCACGCACGCACGCACGCACGCACGCACGCACGCACTGTTAATTAAAAATAAATCTTTTTTAAGTGCCTGCAACACATAGTCACAGGAGAAAACATGGATTTCTTTGAGCAGAGTGGCATTGTAAGCACAGTTTTCCCAACAGTTCAGAAAATAAAGGCACAAACAAATGAAGTTTAAGTGGGTGGGACAAGATGGTGAGGAAAAGGGTTCTCACTGTGACTTCCTTCCTTTCTAAGGGTTCCTAGCAGTGGGTCAGAGCAAAAGGGAACTGGATTAAGGTAAGGCAAGCATTTCTGAGAAAGGACGGCGCGAGCAGATGGCAGAAGAGCTGGTCGTGCTCACTAACCTCGTGTGATCTGACGCAGTTTGATGGTCTCCAGGGTCTGCCGAGTGTGGTGGAGTCCTCCCACACTGCTGGGGGACTGAGAGGGGCGGAGGTCTAGACAAACACTCGCCAGCCCCGGAGGGAAACAAGAGCATCGCTGAGCGGGGCCTGCAGCTGGGAGGGGGCTACAGGGGTGTGAGCGGGGGTGGGGGCGGGGGGGGGAGGGGAGGCGGGATGGGAACGGGGGTGTGAGCGGGGGTGGGAGCGGGGGTGTGAGCAGGAGTGGGATCAGGCGTGTGCTCAACGCGTACATGTCCTGCATTCATCAAATTCCTCCCATCAACACCAAGGAATGTCAGAGAAAACACCCGCCCTCCATCCACAGGGGTCAGCACGGAGAGCCCGAGAACCGTGTGCGCAGTCCTGGGTTCTTACTCCACAGACGGAAGGGTGGCGAGGGTCGGCGGGGAAAGGCCCGCAGCCGATCCTGACACTGAGGTGGGCTCTAGGCCACTGGTGGAGGGACAGAACTGACTCCACGTCATCCTCTCACCTCCACCGTGGGTTGGCAGCCCCGAGAGGGTGCGAGGGTGACTTCACCCCGGCTCACACGCTCCTCCATCTGCTGACTCCTGAGGAAGCAGTGTGCCAGCAGCGCCTGCTGAGACGGCTGGGGGAGGCTTTAGGAACGAGTCCACTCTGAGGCAGGTCACGGCGGACCGGGCCGCTGTTGGCCCAGGGCCCGCTGGGCGTGAGCCGTGAGCACACCCTTGCGCCTTGGGGAGAGCACTCACACCCTAACCCACTCCTGCAGAGATGGCGACAGTGGACACTGGATTCCTTCTCAAGCTCAGAGAATCTTCACAGACTGTAACAGAATTTGAACCTTCCCCCCATGAAAACTTGAGTCAGCAAGTACTCGTGTTCACACATGCGCACACACAACACATCTAACAAGTACACGTGTTCACACATGCGCACACAA